AGAGAGAGAGAGAGAGAGAGAGAGAGAGAGAGAGAGAGAGAGAGAGAGAGAATACACACCTGCATAAGCTACAAGGAGAACTGGGCCTTGGTAAGCAGCTTCAACTCTGATGGGACATATCTTAACTCTCATCCAAAAGGAGACAAAACTGCCTGTTTCTGCAGTATGCTAAATGAGGAAATGCCAGCCTATCATTCCACAAACTATGCCTCAGTTGATATTCCTCCAGGAAAAAGAAAAGAAGGGTGACAGGTATGGGACAGGTAAAGCAAACTTGAGAACCATCAGACACAATGGCTCACTCTGAAAGAGATACTGGCAATTGGAACCATGTTGAAGATTCTAAGAGCTACTGTACATTAGCTGTCCTTTTCGCTAAGATATCAGAAAAGCAATGCAGTTCACTTTACAAACATTACACAGAGAACAGAGAACAAAATTTATAGGATTACATAAAATGACAAAGCTTTTAAATAAAACACATGAAAACCTTTAATAAAGCTCATTTTCGCAATGCTCAAGGGCACATTGGTTTTGGTTTGGTGTTTTAAGTCATGACTATAAACCAATCACCCATAGTTCAAGTACCATCCCTTCACAGTGCTGTCCACTAGCAAAAGACACCCCTGGTCACCAAAGCAGCTTTACACATGCCATTACACACTCATTATGAAAGAAAAGAGTGTCTTGGTATTCAACCGCACATAAATTCTATTCTGAGCTTCTGGTTAACTTAAGAGTTAACTAGGCTGCCAAACAAGCACATCCCAATTTGGGATACTATCATGCATATCTAGTATTACCTAATCCTCAAATTACCCAAAAGATCATGCACAAAAGATAACTCGGTTAAAATATGGCAATACATTAACACAAGTGTGCATCTTGATACCTACATCTATTTAAAGCTCTTCCTAGAGCTCAATGAAACTGACTGACTTTTTTTGTGTTTTCTTTTTATCCTATGCAGATGCTCGCCTTCCTCACGCCCCTCAGCTAGCGAGCGCCTTCTCTAGGGTGACAATTTTCAACCACTTGCATCTTTTGATCTGAGTAAACCCAAGGTGTGGTGTTATTTGTTTCCGGGATCACGTTCTTTTGCCATGAGATGATTCTAGAGGAGAAATGAAACACATCCGGGGCCACTGCTTTTCCAAATCAAAGTCATCTGATGAACAAGGGAAAACCTCCCCAACTCAGCCCAAAGCATGAGGTGGGGTCCAATTTCTAAGCATGGGAACAGATGAAGTATGTTGACTCCAGATCTACTCTGAATTATCACCGTATACTCCTGTTAATGAATGCCTCTTGGCTTACTAACTGCCAATCTTTCAGATTATTAATCAAAAAGGACAAGAATAACCAGTGTTTATATGTAAGAAAACTGTCTTGCCTTGACAAAAAAAAAAAAAAATACCACTGTATTGCCCAAGGATGGAATGAAAACTTTGTATCCAGTTCTTCCTGCAGAAAGATCCAGTTCTGATTCCCTTAATTGGGTCACAGCCTCTTGCAGAAGTATAATTTGGGGCAAGGCTTCTGAAACTGGAATGAGTACTTGGGATCACATGAGGAATGTGGAAATATTCAGGTTCCACAGGACAAGTCTGGGTCACGCCTAGGGTACCTTGTAGCCGGCTTCCCAGCAATGCTTATGTTGTGAGACCTGAAACCCAGCTTTGAGAAGAACTTCAGACTGAGCCTGGAGGTCTGCAAGGTGGCAGAGGGAAGGGCAGGAAACAAACCTAAATGCTGCCTAAGGGCCAGGATGGAAGACAGGCCCTCCCGTGTGTTGCCTAGTTGAACTCAAACTGAGGGAAGGATCAGGAAGCAGGGGCGGAAGAACAAGAGACAGACGGCAATATTCCAACTGTTGGACCTCACCGGAACAGGTAATAGTAAAATGGCAGTTGACTGGGAAGGTTGAGGAGGAGGATCTCAGCTTTTAAGTCAGCCTGGGCTACATACATAGCACCTGTCCCCACACTCAGCTTCCTTGCTCTGTTTTTTACTACCCTGACCCGAGCAAGGCAGTCATACTGCGGCACCTCACTTTCCCTACCTGTAAAATGGGATTGATACCACCTGCCACTTAGGCACAGTGTGGGGAAAGCAAAGGGAGGCTGGCACACCTTTCCTTGTAGGTCTAGCATGTAGCATTACATTTAAAGATAGCCCAGGCTACTGGTCACTCACTGCAAGGGTTACAAGCGCCTGGCTCAGTCACCAAGGCACAGGGTTGACCCTGGCACCTTGTTCACCTGTTCCTGGAGAAGGTTCATGTGACACAACCACTGGCCCTGCCAGCTCAAGGAGTTTCCTGTAATGCACACTGACAGGGACAATGGAATCAGGAGCCAGCTTTACTTCTGCCGCTGGGTCCTCGCCATCCGTTTCCTTGTTACTCTCTCTGCTTCAGTTATAACCCCTTGTTATATATACTCTGTGGATCCCGGGAAGCTGCCTCCAAGTGTTTTAGAGAACAGTCTGATTATACATTCATACAAAAAGTGAACAGGACAAGGAGCAAAGCATCTGAAAACCAAAGGATTAGGGAAAATGTAAAGCATGTGGCATTTATGAATCTTATCACCCGAATGCATGTGAGAGATAGCAAAATACATCTCTACAACATCTACATGTATGTGACATTCTCCAAGTATTTAATGATTCCTTAAATGATAACCAAAACTAATAAAAAGACTTCAGAAAGTACTACTCCAGTTGGTACTTCCACAGTAACAGCACCATCCGGACGGTAACCAATGACTGCAACTAACCATATACCATAAACAAGCAGGGTTTAAAATAAGTTAGAATAAGGTCTGGGGATGGAGCTCGATTGGTAGAGTGCTTGCCTACTCTGAAGGAAGCCTTGGGTTCGATCCCCAGCGCCATATAAAACTGAACATGATGGGCATGCGCCATCTGTTGAGCGGAGGGAGATGGGGCCACAGGTTAAGGTCATTCGCTGCTACAGACAGAATTTTAGGACAGCCTGCCCAACACAACACTCTATCTCCAAAACAAATTCTATTCATTAATTTTATATCAAGTACATAATATAAACTAAGCCATTTGTAATGTTGGCCCAAAATTAGAAGACTATTAATTAACAAAGCTTTTACAAGGGCAAAGTGGTTCTCCTGGCTGTCACTTTCAATTATAAAAATGTCACATCAAGTTTTTGACTATGAAAATGATACAACATTATGAGGCAAACCCTTGCATCTTTTAGGGGACAAAGATCAACAGAGAAAACCCAAGTCAAGGACTCAGCCAAATACTATATTTAATACTGTGACAAATGAACAACACAAAAAAAAATGTGCTCTAACGTTTGCCTCTGCAACTATTTTTCTGTGGTTTGTTATCTGAGTTTATGGGAGTACGTTCTAATTAACAGCAAGAATATAAGTGAGACAGTTCTAGACATTTTAAATCAGAAAGGAAAAAAATCTTTATTAGAGAAGCAGGAATTCTGCACCAGCTTCAATCGGTGATGGGACGCTTTCAAATGGGAGCTGTTGTCACAGTGTGAAGTGTCAGGCTGCTTGGCTGACCTTTCTGAAAATCCCTAGGGTGTAGCGGGGAACTGAACTGGGGAAATATCTACTCACTGAGAGAGGAGAGTGTACATCTCAGGTTTAATGAGATTGGTTGTGGAGACAAAAAACTGTGTGTAAAAACAAAAAAAGTATAAAGAGGCTTTTTTAAAAAATTAAGTTGGCTTAAAGGGTTTTTTTGATAAACAGTACAATCATATGTATGAGTGTAAGGCACACACACACTCACACACACACACACACACACACTTACAACTCACACATAGTCTAAGGTTAGCTCCACAGAACCAGAATAAGGCTCAGCTAACCACAAATGTGATTGCGAACACACCAAAGAAGTCAGGTATATGATGTTGATAATATTAATAATAAGAATAAGAATAAGAATAAGAAGAAGAAGAAGAAGAAGAAGAAGAAGAAGAAAATAACAACAACAACAACAACAAGAGCATAGTGTTGTGTGAATGCCTTTAATCCCAGCACTGGGAGGTAGAGGTAGGTGGGTCTCTGTGAGTTCGAAGCCAGCCTGGTCTACAAAGTGAGTTCCAAGATAGACAGGGCTGCACAGAGAAACCTTCTCTCAGAAAGCAATACATACATACATACATACATACATACATACATACATACATACAAACAATAACCATGGAGAATTTCTTTGGTCACTGGCATGTCAAACTCCTGGGAACCAGAAGCCAGATGCTAACAATGCTACTGACTGTCATGTCAGCACTAAGTGAGCAGAATGGTGAGGTAAATCTGTCTACTGAGGGCTTCCCTGTCCCACAACAGAGAACAGGGCCTCACTG